TTCTTTTAATTTGTTCTTACGTGGTTTTCCAGATGTAGTGACGACAACATTAAAGTTTAAAGAAGAAAATTCTAACATTTAAACCGACTAAACAATAACATTGTAAACTTGCATAATTAAACAGCAACTAAAAATGATAGGTTTTACTAAATCTTTTCCTGTGCAATTATTACTAGCATTGTAGACAAGGATAATAGTTTGTTTGAAAGAGAAAAGAACAGGCTTTGAAGTAAGCCTAAAAGCGTTTAACTAGAAATAGTATTTCGAAAGTTATTAAGCACAAAAGATGAATTGCGTTTATTTTGATACAGATCGGAAGAGCACACGTCTGACAAAATATCACCAACTCGAACCGACTTGACCTCGTAGCTCAGTTGCTAGAGCATTAATTGGAGTAGCATCCCAAAGGTCGCGGTTTCGATTCCCACCGTGGTCAGGCAAACTTTTCAGCTTGGATAAAGACCTACCTAAAATGGTCATGTTTTGTGATTGGATTACAGAAACAAATATGATCATTGTTCGTGACTCGTTCTTTAGAAATACGATTTCTATAGTTTTATTATGTTTCATTGTTATAATCAACCATGCAACGACGAGGCTGGATAGTATAGGTAAGACGATGACCCTTCAGCTTGCCCGGTGTGGATGCACACTCATCCTGAGTAACATCACAAACATGCACCATCATTACACACTGGACGGGATTCGACAACGCGGCTCGATTTTTCGATTTTCACCGACCGAACTTTAATCCTGATTTAAGTTTTCCAAATATTTAGAAGCGTTATAGCATTTTGAGTTATTTGGTCTACATATCTTTTAAAATTTCCTTTCATTGACTGTTTTATTAAAAACTGAAAAAATCCCGCTGCCTTGTCCAATCGCGTCCAGTGTGTTTCGGCCTTAAAGGCAAGGGTGGGTTGACTACAAAATTTTTGTAGTTCGCTATAACTACAGCTACTTCAGAAATATGTAGTCAGCTACAACTACAGCATGCTACTTTTGAACAAAGGTAGTTCGCTACTGACTACAGCTACTGCTTAAAAAATGTAGCGAACTATTCGCTATTTCGCTCCTCTATATTTTTAGTTTTATGGTATTCGGAGCATCCACTAGCTCAGGCTGTAATACAACCTATAACAAATCGACTTTAGAGTAGCAACAGTAAACAAGAAGGGTCAAAGCAACATTTTTGTTAGCACTACAATGTTCAGGAGTGCCACTTTTCATTGCGCTAAAATAATCTTTGACTTTACTGTGTAAATTAAAGGGTATTGGCAACAAAAAATTTTATTGATTTTATTGCTTCATCTGAAAGAGCATAAAAAAATAAGCCGATTGGCCGTTTACTGCTCTATTCTATCTCATCTGGTTCCGAAGTTATACGCAAAAATGTGCAAAATATAAATTGCTGATTCAGCACATTCTGTGACGTCATAAACTGGGTAAGTATGTTTATTGAATAGTAAACTAAAGCATAGCTGAGTTATTATTGGCTCAAATCAAATGAAATTTTGCATACAGATAGTACATGATGAGATGCATGGGAAAATACTTCTAATTTCGTTGTCAAGGCAACACTGTCGTTCCCAGGCCTCTTACACTGATTTTGAATAACTAGTTGCATTTATCTATGTGTATATCATTTTCGAATTATTATCATGCAAGTAAACTTTTGGCATGCATAGGTATCATACACATACTTCTGATATTATTTTATTCTTATCAGTACCTTGAATAAAGCTGTTTCATAAAATTGGCGCATGGGGCCTGGAAACGACATTGTTACCTTGGCAACAGAATTAGAAGTGTTTTTCCATGCGTCTCATCATGTACAATCAGTATCCAAAATTTCATTT